TCTCTGTTGACTAGTTTCATTCCCCATTTCCCCAACTGAAGACGGCAGCGGGCGGCCTTTGGACGGAGCCAGCTACCCATCTCCCTAACTGATGGTGCGGCCGCCTCTAGGCAGAGCGCTGCTGGTGGCCAGTCTGTGGGCGGAGCCAACTCCCCAATTGCCGACGTGGTGGCCTCTGGGCGGAGCTAGCTCGTAGATCCATTGCAAGCCCGCTCAGTGGAGCGTGGATCTCCGGTGACCGGCGGCGACTCCATCTCGTTGGTCGGCGGCGTGCTCCTAATCCCCAGGTGCCCTCATCCACCTCCCCATTCCCCCTGCGTTGCCTTTCCCCGTCGCTCACCTCCCCCTTTCCAGTTGATGTGTGAGGCCTAATCAATCCCCGCTCCCTCAAGTTCTCATGTCGCAGGCGTCGTCATCTACCGCTCGCGCTCAGTGGTCAAGCGTAGCTAGGGTTTCCCAGCAACCCGCACCCCTTGTTGTTGTTGCTGTATGTAACACCTTAAAATTTGTCTCTTTTGGAGAATATGATAAAATGATTTATTTCTGAATTTTGGTGCTCATAAAATATAGGAAAATAAAATTTTTCATTAATTTAAAATTTATCATAAGGTAGAAACGTGTTTGTTGCATTCATGCCGGTCGCACCTTGTGTTTCTATGTACAAAATGTGTGTTTTTTTATACATTTAGGAGACAAATATCTATCTTTAGGAATTTTTCAGCTTCTTTCTGGAATTTAATTCCTACCTCCTTCACCTTAATCTTTATGTTCCAAGATTCCAACAATCTTTTTATGAGCTCCAAATACTTTATTTGGGTTCATCATGTTCCAAAGTGTCTCTGAGAATTTTCTCCAAATTTTTAGAGGTCTCGGAGTATTTTTCGTGGCTTAAATATTAATTCTGGACTTTTCTAGAATTATTTTATCCATGAAATTAATTAATTCCGAAAATAATAAATCTCTCATTTTTTCCAACGCTCAAAGTCTATGTGCAACAATCCTAGTAAATCTCAAAGGCCCATGTATTTATTTACTAATGGGCTTTAATGTTTATTTAGGCCCATTAGTGCAGGCGGATGTTGCAACGTCAATTAGTACCATATCGCTAGTTGACGGGGATGTGGGGAGTTTTTCTCCCTATATATATCTACCACCCTTGGGCAAAGTACACCAAAATTACCGTAAGCGAAGCCCCTAGTTTGGGCCCTCATGTAGTAATGATGTAGTAAATTTGATTTTTCTCCTCTTCTCTCGCCGTCGCTGCCGCCGTCGCTGTCGCTGGAACCACCAGTTGCTTCACCACCGTTCGCTACACCGCTGCCGAGGTTCGAATCGAGGTGATGAATCCGTCGACGCTTCCCTTCCTTCCTCCTTTTGCCCCGTAGCTCACACAACGCACGGTATTGCCAAGCTCTTGTAGGAAGTCGTCGTCCATCCGTCGAGCCCAGAGCCGCTTCACTTGTTCTTTCTCGTTCTCAGCGTTGCTCACGCCGCCGCCGAGTTCTTCATCACTTGTCGTCCTGCCTACCGCCGTGATGTCTTCCTTGTCTGCCATCGAGATTCTAGCAGCTGCTTCCGCAAGCAGGTGCACAGGAGGGGACACCAGCTACCGATCCATGGCCAGGAGGGTGGAGGAATCCTTCTATGTGAAGCACCGTCATCTTGTCCAAATCAATCACGTCAGCATGCTGTTCTTCGCTGGCTGATGGACTGATGGTGAGCAGATCTACGGAATTGCTCTTTGCCTTGTTCATAGTTCCATGCTTCGTCGCCTCCGTGAAACCGGCAAGAGGCTTCTGCAGCCCCGTGCAAGCCGCCGCACCACCACGGTCACTTATCGTTGCCCGATTTATTGCTCGGCGTTCATCCATCACTCGAGGTGAGAATATTACCACCTTCCCTATCCTTCAGGTGTTCCGTTTTTTTATCACATCTATATGTATCTCGTGCCCTGTAACGTCATCGCTTAGCTTCCTTTTTCTCTACATATCTATGGGTGTGCCTTCCAGCTCCCCGTTCCCCGTTTTTGCCGAGCTCCCATGGCAAAAATCTGCCGGCGTACATCCACCGTCCCAAGAAAGGCAGAATCAGCGCCACAAGTTTCATCTTGTCTTGGCTCGATCGAGTGTCGATCTGTACCAAGCAAGCTGTTCATCCATCCATACGCTGCTGCTTATCCCGTTGCCTTGCAAGCACGTACACCTGCATGCTCCCAACTCAATATATATATATATATATATATATATATATATATATATATATATATATATATATGGAAAAATTTCCCTACTCCTATACACACACATACGAGCAATCCATCCATGCACTATGGCAGAAACAGCCGGCCATGGCTGCAGCCGACCTACTGCTTCCCTGCCTTGCAAACCTGCTTTGCGTTCCGTCCTGTCTTCCTACTGCAACATATGCAAACCTTCAAGCAAATAGCACCGTGCATGCATGTCAATAATGCAAGCTAGCAAGCGCCAAGGATGACGAGGATGTAAGCTTAGCAACATAATCTTCTATCTAGAAGCGAAGGTTCCCCATGCCACGTACTTATGTGTTTATAATTAAATATTAATTTGATTAATATCTATGTAATTAGCTTTCCAAGTTAGGGTTTTCACATCGATCTTTTATAAACACTTATTAATTTGATTAACATCAACTTTAATATGTTTTCATTAATTATGAATTGTGTAGTTTAAACCCAATTATATAACTTTGATTAGAGGCCCTCATAAATCTATCTTTTGCAAAGTTAACTTGTTTAAATGGTAGATAATATTTATAAATAAAACATGATTAGTTTTAAATCAATTTCTAAACTAAAATATGATTTGTGTAATCTGAGTTAATATTCCTCACATGTTTTTCTTAAATAAAACAAATCAAGCATGTAGGCTTTTCTTTGTTTTTATAATATAAATTTTCCTGTAGCCGTTTCTTTTAATCGTAGCTATGTTCTTGGCGTTTCTTATGATCTTGTGAGCATAGCTCTGATTAGAGTGCTTCTCGCGACTGTGTGTTCGTAGCGATGCGTAGAATAGTGTTTCAAACTCTTTTACTTATTTTTCTATGATTGGTGTACTGTTCTAATTTAGATCTATTGTTTGTTTCGTGTATGATTGTACGGATGTTTGTGTGGTGCTTTATGATTACGTCCAGTCGGTGAGATATACGTGGTGATCAAGAAGAAGAAGAAGAACGTTGAAGATTAAAGTTTACCAAAGGATCGGTGTTTTAAGGCAAGTATAGCATGGGATCTTTCTTGTTGTCCTATACACCTTTAATCATTTAATTCATACTGCATGTGTGTACCTTGACTGCCACTAAGGATTTCCTAGTACTTTGTTACCTTGTAGCTTGATACCTATGGGGTATTGCATTGGGTAGTATGATGCTAGTGCTCAACTACAACCATGATCTTGTAACTTGACTAATGGTATATGCAATAAACATTAAAAGATGATTTTTAGCAACATGGAACAAGGGGGCTAGAGCATTGGGCTGTTTTTATGGTGCTCTAGATTCCTCTCCCTAAGAACTGATCTGTAAGTGATTTATCCGAGACTTACAGTACAACTGTGAGGGCTACATGGCTCTGGCTTTAGCTCAGTATGAGGACCTTTTCTAGCTTGTTAGTGGTTACCTTTATTGGCGTAAGAATAGCTTGCTGAATCGGGTATAGGACAGCCTCTATCCCCTTGTGTATAGGCTGCGTGTCATTGTGCCATCAGGAAGGGGGTTCCTATATCTGTTTGCCGAGTGAATCTAATGGCCCTAACTTATTAGACGAACCTTTGAAAGGCTTCATAGTGAACCCTGCCGACCTTCCTTGGTAGTGGGTCAAGAGGCTGATCACCTCGGGCGAAAGGGTAAATCACGACTCACAGTGAAAGTGTACAACATCTGCAGAGTGTAAAACTGGTATATCAGTCGTGCTCACGATCACGAGCAGCTTTGGAACATTTACGGAATAGATGAACACTGATGATACAGATGATGAAGATGCTCACTAATGATTAACTGTTTATGCTATTCATTATTTATGTTTACCTGATCATGTGTTTATGGGCTTATGATAAACTTGTTGCCACCCAATTGCTAAAAGATGACTCATTAAAAGCAAATCACAGTTAAACCAGTGTCAGCCTTTTGAGCTCTATGAACCCCATGTTATATTTGTTGAGTACGACATGTACTTACGCTTGCTTTATTTTACACATATTTGGAAAAATCCCGGATGGGTACCAGATTGCTAGAGTTTGGAGGAATTAGGCTTGTGATCAACCAGTCAGTTGTCCATGTGGATTTGGAGTACTCGCTTGAAGAACGAAGTTGTCTTTCCGCTGTCTATACTCTGAGGTTATATTCTTTATACTAATAAGTTATTTATTTGAGCATTGTCTTTCGATATTACTCTTATTTGTAGCTATATGTGAGATTTGACTTCCTAGGCTCACATATGGTGTGTATCTAGTTTTGTCCTTAAAACCGGGTGCTACACTGTAGTGCCTCCGCCCACTGCTGTTGAGCTACAGGCGCCGATTGATGATGTGACCGGGTTGCCGTTGATAATGTGCCCTGATTGCAAGGACGTGAAGGTGTTTGCTACCACTACCACGCAGTCTGAGTATAACATTGGAAGGAGATTTTTCAAGTGCCCTAGGAAGAACTATCGAAATGTTGGTGTTATAATCATTTTGCATTGCCCAAATTTCATTCTTGTTTGAATGGGCATGCCTGAGAATGGTAATGTTTTTAGCATTCAGTGGCTGCACTATTGATGTTAATTTGCCTGTTGTTTTAATTTAGATGCAGGGGACATGTACTAGGTATTGGTTCGAGGAAGAATATGTGGTGTTCCTTCATGATAATGGTTATCTACTGTCAGCTTCCTCGACCATTGCAGCAGCTTTGACAACAGAAGTTCCTGAGCTGGTGGAAAAAATTGATTTGCCCATGCAGCGCCCCCAAAGAATGTTCGCAAGAAAACCATGGGTCATGGCTTAGAGAAGATGCTAAATAGAGGAAAGAAGCTGGCTATCCAAGTGGCTGAAGGGAAGAAAAGACATGATGTCCCACTTCAGGCAGTGAAGCTGGCATCAGAAACTGGTGTTGCCCTTAGAGACAACATGCCCATCTACACATCATGGAAGCTTTATGACAATGATGCGGGAAAGGAAGAAGTAAAAAAAGTGCTTGACAAAGTGGCGGTGAGACAGCTATTTCACTCCTCCAAATACTCTCTTGCATTACTCTACTCCCATGTGAAAAAATTGTATCTAATAAATGATTTGTGTGGCTTCAATCAAGGTTGGATGTGGATGTTAAGAATGAGGCACCAAGTAAAGCTGCATGCACTGATATCATTAAGAGGGGAGTAAGGCAGACGAGGTATCACCTGAAAAAGAAGTACTTCGATGAGTCACTGACAGAGGAACAGCTGCTGGCCAAGCAACCTCCACCTAAAATGAAGAAAGAGGAATGGACCAAGCTGGTGGAGTACTGGTGTGACCCAAAGAATCAGGTCCATGCCTAAATTATCTGCTTTTGTTAATATGCAATGCAAACTGTGCATGTGAATGACAACTCTGTATTGCATGTGGTGCAGGAAAAATGTGCTAAGAATAAAGTAAACCGAGCCCAAGTGCAGCTTCATCAAAGGACTGGAGCTAGGTCCTATATTGCCCATCGATACAGCCTGGTACGGATACTATGTCTTTTGTACATTTGTAGCTTAGTAATTACCATGTGCTTTTGAACTGTCAAGTTAGCACGTGCTCCAATTATTTCTGAGATGAGCTCCCATGTTCATAATATTTGCGCTGTGCCGAGTGAGCTATAATCAATAGGTGTTTAGGCTCCAATTATTTTATGGTGACCATTTGAAACTGAAATCTGCAAGAGGAATTGCTATGTCATCAGAGATGATCATCATCAGTAGTAGGTGTTGTTTAGGCCAAGTTATTATTCTTGATCTGTCCAGGTTGCATTGATGCATGTTCCTATGTTGTTTTTCTTTAACTGTCAGTAATTAGTTGACTTTGCTAGTGATTGTATTTGTTGTTGGCATAAAAAATCTAGAGGCAAATACTTGTATGATATGTAGTGCATACATATTTTGGCATGTTGCTATTGGCATGTACAAATAATCTATGGCTAATCTTATATCCCAAGTTTTTAACATGCTGCAGAGGACTAAGTACAACAACATGGAGCCAGATGCTGTTGATTTCTTTGGGGAATGTATGAGTAGTCCCCAAAATGGTTGTACTCCTCTTGCAAATGAAATATATGTAAGTTACAAAATCAATGGATACATGCATGTACTGCACTCAAGTAAATGCCTAGTTCAACACTATTGTATGGCTTTGTTATTAAGTGGATTCATTTTATGTAGGAACAAATGGTTGCAGAGAAGGAAAGAGAGCCAGAAGAAGGAGAAGAACAAAATTCTCCCTCCAAGATTGTTGCTGACTGTCTCAGCCAGATCAGCCGTTCATCCACCTTCCTTCCTAACATTGGTGTCCCTCGACCATCGAATACTGGCCGGTCCACATCGACAGCCGCACAAGCACGTCTGCAAGCTCAGTTTGAGGAAACACTCCAAGCAAAAAGAGAGAAAGCTGCTAGGAAGCAGGAAGAGTTGCAAGCACAGCTTCATGCTCAACAGGCCGCACTTGAAGAAAACCAAAGTTTGTTGCGTCAGACCCAAGAGGAAGTAAAGGGGATGCATACCAAGTTGGAAGAGACTAATGCACTGCTACGAGCTGTCCTAAAACTTTAGAAAGATTGAGGTAGGTATGAATGCAGTGTCTGAGGATGATGCCTTTGCCTAAGCTTTTGCTACCTTGCTCGAACTTACTCTGTGGTTGGAACTTTGTTAGAACTATGTGCAATCTGTTTGTATGTTTAAACCTTTGTGGTGGAACCTCTGTATGTTTGAACCTCTTATGGTGGAACATGCCTGATGGAACCTGGAACTATGTGGTGGAACAAGTGTGCTGGAACATGTTGAACCACTGTCTTCTGGTCTTGAATTTATGTGTATGCATGATGGCTTGACTGAATTGTGTATGATTTATGACTTGTGATGAGAATGTTGTGGATGATGGCTTGGCTGATATATATGTGTATTATGCTTTTATGAGCTATGGATGAAAGATCAGTGTGTCGTCACTGAATATGGCTGCCACGCTCGTCATGAATGAGAGGACAATTTGTGACGCCATACAGTCGTCTCAAAATGTCTCTAACTACCATACAAAACAAGACAAAATCTAGGCGTCACAAAATCCACACTCATATATGACGTTTCTGTGTCATCAAAGAAACTTATCTGAGACTGTCCTCGTACGTACCATTTATGCCGTTTCGTACATTAGGTGACATGTTGACTGACCAATATGTGATAGTTACAGTCGTCATAAAAGATAACTATATGTGACGGAAAGACACAACCGTCACAAAAGGTCGTAGCATTTTGTGACGGTTCTCAATATTATCGTCACAAGGTACATTATGTGACGGTCGTTATATGATGACTGGCATGACGCTGCTTTTTTGTCATAAGACACTTTTTATGACCAATTTTGTACTTACCATGACAGTGTGCTTATGTCATACAAACCAATTTTTTTTGTAGTGTGGGATAGTAGTAAGGAATAAAGCAAGATTGGTAGCACAAAGATATACACAAGTTGAAGGTCTTGACTTTGGAGAAACATATGCCTCGGTTGCTAGATTATAAGCAATTAGAATCTTATTAGCCTATGCTTGTGCCCACAACATCAAGCTCTATCAAATGTATGTCAAGAGTGCATTTCTCAATGGTTACATCAATAAAGAAGTATATGTTGAGCAACCTCCCGGTTTTGAAGATGACAAGAAGCCCGACCATGTGTACAAGTTGAAGAAGGCATTGTATGGCTTAAAGCAAGCACCTAGAGCATTGTATGAGAGATTGAGGGACTTCCTACTCTCTAAAGGGTTCATAATGGGCAAGGTTGTCACCACTCTTTTCACCAAGAGGATTGGCAAAGACTTATTTGTGTTGCAAATCTATGTTGATGATATTATATTTGGATCAACCAATCAAGACTTTTATGAAGAGTTTGGAAAGATGATGGCTAATGAGTTTGAAATGTCCATGATTAGAGAGTTAAGTTACTTCCTTGGTCTTCAAATCAAGCAATTAAAAAATAGTACATTTGTGAGTCAAGGCAAGTACATCAAAGACATGCTCAAGAAGTTTGGCGTGAGTGATAGCAGAGCCATTAGTACACCAATGGGGACAAATGGCAATTTGGATAGTGATGCAAGTGGCAATATGATGGATCAAAAATTATATTGGTTTATGATTGGAAGCCTACTCTATGTGATCGCATCAAGGCTGGATGTCATGTTCAGTGTATGCATGTGTGCAAGATTTCAAGCCTCACCAAGAGAAAGTCATTTGAAGGCTACAAAGAGAATATTGAGGTACTTGAAACATACACAAAATGTGGTTTGTGGTATCCAAAAAAGCAAAGTTTAAGCTAGTTGGTTACTCTGACTCGGATTATGCAGAATGCAATGTTGAAAGGAAGAGCACCTCGGGCACATGTCAATTGTTGGAAAGATCACTTGTTTCATGGTCATCAAAGAAGCAAAATAGTGTTGCATTATCAACCGCCAAAGCCGAATACATATCCGCCGATAGTTTTTGTGCACAAATACTTTGGATGAAGGCCACCTTAAGTGACTTTGGAATCAAGTCAAGAAAGTGCCATTGCTGTGTGACAATGAGAGTGCAATCAAGTTAACCAACAACCCGGTTCAACATGCAAGAACAAAGCACATTGATGTCCCCCACCATTTCATAAGAGATCACCAACAAAAAGGGAACATTTACATTGAGAGTATAGGCACCGAAGATCAACTTACCGATATATTCACCAACCATTGGATGAGAAAAGGTTTTGCAAACTAAGGAATGAGTTGAACATATTGGATTTCTCAAATATGTGGTGATGCACCCCCCCCCCCACTTATATGACATGCCTCTCCTTCGAGCAATCCATAGTAAAAATTGATTGGCATGGCATACATCCTTGCTAAGGACATGTTTAGTGTATCTAGTCATTTTTCACATTTAAGAGGCTCATTAATGAAAATCAAATGATTTTGATATTTGTATGGTACCACTATTGCTTCTATGCTTAATTTGGTCTACTGGTAGCACATGACATGTTTGTGGGCTTGTAAACCTAGTGTTTGATCTAGAAAATGAGCTCTAAGTGTTTAACTCAACATGGTACAAGATAACCCTTATTTAGAGGTGTGAAAAAGCTTGTCCTTGGATCAAACCGAGTTAAATGTCTTTGGCAAGTATTCTAGTTGAACCATATTTGAGAAAATGATCCTCACACCATTGATTGACATTGATAATCTCAACCTATCTACATTTGAACCTTTGTGGTCATTGATGACAAAGAGGGAGAAATAATGTACAAAGTTAGTGAAAAAACAACAAGGGGGAGAGAAACAAAGATGTAAGTGATAACGGGAGAATTTGACGTAGGGGGAGAGATATGGATCAATTAAAATTTTAAGCACACAAGTAGGAGGAGCAAGCTTATGAACTTGTATGTTGCATTTGAATGTGCATTTCATATATTTGCTTGCATAGCACAAGTTTTAAATTTCAATATCCATGCTTGTGTGGTGTATGCTAGTTGTAGGTTTGAATGATGAAATGAAAAACTAGCATGCATAGGTTAAGTAACTAGACTCATGCTCACATTATGAAAACTAGACCCTTACTTCTAATGTTGATCTCACGAGGTATTCTAGTTTTTGTGTATGTCTAGTTACTAATGGTGCTACGGATGGTATATTGGTGCACTCCGATTGGTATCACGCTTCAAAGGTCCATCTTTTATACCTTAGCATCATTTGGTAGATGAAGGACACATGGACGCCTAAGAGGGGGGGGGTGAATTAGGCAACTTAAAAATCTAACTCTAAGCTATGGCCTCTTTTTCTACCTCTAGCAAAACCTATGCAAAAGATAATCTATCTAGATGTGCAACTACGGTTTTGCTAGTGTGTTGCTATCTCTACCGCAAATGATAATAATATGATCAATGTAAATGCGGAAGCTTAAAGAGCAAGGTAGAGATATGCAAACTCCCGTCGACGACTCTGGTATTTTTACCGAGGTATCGAGAAGCGCGCAAGCTTCCCCCTAGTCCTCGTTGGAGCCCCTCGCAAGGAATCCCTCGCAAGGGCCAAACTCCCGGTCGGGTAACTCCGTGGACAACCTCGGGCCTTCCCCACGCGCAAGTGGGTCTCCGATGTGCCTTCCGGCAAGCCTCTCCCGGATGCTCTCCGCCGTCTTCACTATCAAGCTTTCGGCCGAAACGCCGCGGGACTTGTTCCCTTCGGTACACGGTGGCGGCCGCACCACAAACGCGGTTGGTGCGATCTCGCAAGACTTCAAGCCCCTCTGATGTACAACTCTTGTGCTCGCAAGCATGGGGTGGCAAGAGGTATGCAAACCTCACTAAACACTAAGCATACACCTAGAGCAAGCGCATAAGCGGTGGTCTAATCAACCTAAGCACTTCGCAAAGCACTTATGCTAATCACCTAATAAAACACTAAGCACTATGCATGTGGAGATCACTCAAATGGTGTATCAACACTCTTGATATGTTTCCTCAGCTCCACACCTCTCAAATGGCCGGTTGGGGGTTGTATTTATAAGCCCCACTGAGAAAGTAGCCGTTGGGGTCGAACTCCATAAATCTGCCATCGACCGGACGCTGAATAAATCTGACCGGACGCGTCCGTCGTCCCGACCGTTAGCCGCGAACTACCGATCGGACGCCGCCGGCGTCCGGTCGCGCGCCACCGGACGCGTCCGTCGCGATTCAGGCGCGAAACCTCTCTCAGACTCGATCGGACGCTGTGAAACTGCGTCCGGTCGGTTGCCGCCAGCGTCCGGTCCTTGCGTCCGGTCGCCTATCTGCCGAGCCACCGGTCCAGCGTCCGGTCGCGCTTCCAGCGTCCGGTCGCCTCTGCGAGCTCATTTCTTCGTGATCTTGCGCACGGCTTGGTTCCTATCTTCATGCTTGGACTTTGCTTGACATATTGGGTCTTTTCTTGTGCTTCTAAGGTCTTGTTTGAGGTGTTGATCATCAGATCATCATGTCGCCTTCGTCCAAGTCACGTCTTGCACCCTATTGGACTACAAAAACAACCACTTGCAAATTCATTAGTCTAATTTGGTTGTGTTGGTCATCAAACACTAAAATCCAAAGTAAATGGGTCAAGGGTCCATTTTCCTTACAATCTCCCCCTTTTTGGTGATTGATGACAACACGACCAAAGCAAGCAAATGATAATTTTTTTTAAATTTAAAAATTATCTACTTGCTAGGATGCAATGCAAAGGGCAAGGTTATATGATACTAATTGATAGATATCAATTAAAACTTTACTCAAAAGCATGTTTTGCCCTTGCAAATGTCCCCATGTGATATTATGGATTAGAGCTTATCTTTCTAAAAAAAATTCTCAATCCATAATTCACTTTCCTTCCTTTCTCGGACCATTACCACTTGTAGACATCAACTTGATGCTTGCTTTTGGTCCTTCAAATTCTTCCCCTTTGGCATCAAACACTAAAAAGGAAGACATTAGTAGCACAAGGGAGGGTCAAATTTCATGATCCTTTGTGTATAGAGAGAAATGGATCACAAAATTTGACTCTCGCATTATATAGACTAAGCTCCCCCTAAAT